CAGTGAAATGCCTACTGAAACTAGATCAAAAATGAATATTCATATCGAAGCTTCGGAATCATTTTTTATATTAAGGTCTGCAAAAATATTTGTAGACTTTAAATATATTTGATGCTTTGGATGATAGGAATTGTCAAAGGTCCTGGGTCTCAGACCAAACCACTAGCTAGCTAATCGCACTTATTCTCATTGTCTTTTAGGGAAATAAATATGCTTTTAATCCCAAAGACTACATTTTTGTTAATAATTTACGGTGTGGCTAATATAAGGTAGTTTTTGCTACCGCAAAAAATACCCCAATGTTTATTCATATTTTTTCAGGTAGCTATTATCTTCCATTACTGTTATTTTTTTAAACTACAAAGTATCTAAGGATAGTTTCATTGTCATCAGTACAGTTAAGATTTATTTGCTTATTGGGTAATAGTATAGCTTTCGACCTGTTTTCTGGTAACTAGACTTCCAAGTTACATAGACTTTGCATTTAAAACGGAAATTGTCCAAATTACTACATTTTTATTTTGTGACACGCAGTCATTGTTACCGAGTTGTTTTTCTACTGGGGAGTTCTCTTAGGGTTTTTATTGCTGTGAAAAGACACCATAACCATTGCAACTCTTGTAAGGAAAGAGTTTTAGAGGTTCTATCCATTACCATCATAAGAGCATGATGACGTGGTGCTGCAGAAGCTGAAAGTCTTAAATCTTGCAGGCAACAGGAAGTCAACCAATAGTCACATCAAGGGAAATTTGAGCAAAGGAGTCCTAAAAGCCTGCCCCCACAGTGACACACTTCTCCAACGAGGCTACCTCCTAATAGTGCCACTCCCTTCGGCGGCCATTTTCTTTCACAGGACTAAATGAATTTCTTTGCCTGAAGTCTGTCACCATTCAAAACTCCCTTAGTACTCAGAAGCCACTCACTTAAAAACAAGAACAGCTGGTCACCATGATGTGATGTGATTAGTTATCTTTCTAGAAACAGTTTATAGAACACCACATGACCTTTTATCTCTTTCCTTGATTTGGGCAAGTGTATCCTGTTTTATGTGATGACGTTTCCAGTGGTTTAAGAGAATTTATCCACTGAAACATTAAATAACCACTTGTGTAATTCACACCTGAACATTACTCAACATTCTAGAAGTTGGCTTACATAAACTTATTCATTTGAACCTTGTAGAAGAGTGATCTTGATTCCCTCCACAACTTTGTTAGGATAAGTAGGCCCCTCTCATATATCAGCACTAGTTATATTAAGTGTAAGGTACATCTGTACTCAGATGTGATGTGCACAACTGTTACTTTTGAAGCTTGCTCTAAAATAATCCTAGGATTAAATAACATTTAACTGTGTTACCATGTTAATCAACCCCAGTGTCTATAGGAATATAAAATGACTTTAATTTCTGGAGGATGGTTCATTAAGACTATGAAAAATGTTCATATCATCTTAGTAGTTCCATTAGAACAGTTTGTCCTAAGGACTTGTGTGCATATGTGTGAAGAAAGTTCTGAGTAAGAACATGGATGAATGTTCAGTTCAGCATGGCAGAATACCAAAAATGAGCAATAGTGAGAGCATCTACCTTCAGAGGATTCATTTGAATTATAATGACTCAATAGAAATGTGCTTTGGTATCATTGAAAAAGTACATATTTACACAAAGATATGTCTCGTTAATTGTAAAAACCATCTTATAGAACCAGTCAGGCTACTGATTTTCTATTTTAAGAGGGCCTGTTTTTCTCTTTTTAAGAGGTTCTGGCTTTTGTTGTTGTTGTTTTGATTTTTTTGAGACAGGGTTTCTCCGTAGAGAAACCCTGTCCTGGAACTAGCTCTTCTAGACCAGGCTGGCCTCTGTCTCCCGAGTGCTGGGAATTAAAGGCATGCGCCACCACTGCCCGGCTGAGGTTCTGGGTTTTTTTTATGCTCTTCTAATGTTGGGTTTCTTTGAGATAGAGTATCACTATGTGACTCTAGCCAGCCTGAAACTTGCTGTGTAGACTAACTTTAAACTCAAAGCAATTCACCTGCCTTTGCCTCATGTTCTGGGATTATAGCCATGTGCTATCACACTCAGATTATGTTTGTATATTTTTCCAAACATCTTTATGACAAGTTAATTGTAAGAATCTTTACTGATAGAATCAGCCAACTTAAGTGAAGAAGTCTCTTGTACACATCAGAATATTAGATTTCTTTAGTGTTACATTCTTAGCTCCTTTGTCAGGAATCATAGAACATGCATGGTAAAGCTCATTCTCTATTTTAAGAACTCTTCCTGCCATATTTACCTTTATTCTTATGAAAAAAATTTTGTGTTTTCTCTAAGCATCATAAACTACTTACACAAGAAACTCTCCTTGGTAAACAATGTAGTGGATTTGACTTTTAAGCAGTGGGAAGGGTTGCTTTGCCTCCCGAATTTTACTTAGTTATAGACAGAAACATACAAGTTTTTGGGTTTAGTTGGTATTATTTTTATATATATATATATATATATTTGTGAGATGCAATACTTGTTACATAGGTAAGCCTAAAGAGTAAAGAAGCATCTTCAGGGACTAGGTGAAGTGATGCCGCAACACCATAAATCCAGTATTTGGGAGGCAGAAAGGCAAGATCTCTGAGTTTGAGGAGTTCCAGGACAGCCAGAGCTACAAAGTGAGACCCTGTCTGAAAAAAAAAGAAAGGAAGGACCATCTTTAGGGCTGAAGATGTGGTTCAGCTGGTAAAAGTGCTTGCCTACCATGGACAAAACCCTAAATTTGATCCCAAGCACCACATAAAACTCTGGTGTCTTGGCAAATTCCTATAATCCTAGCATCCAGGAGGTAGAGGCAAGAGTTTGAGATCAGCCTACAGAGTACCTAAGACTATGTAGGAAGTTCCATCTTCAAATAACTTTTATGTTCATAGTAGTTATTTTTTGTTGTTGAAATTAATGATGAATAAAGGGAAAAGTGGAAAATATACATAATACAAAACCCAAAGGAACTATACATAAGTTCATCCCAAAGACCTGGAAGTTTTATTCTGGGCTTGTTTAATGTAGTATTCATTAATAAACACATTTTTATTTAGATGCTGCTATCCAAAGTAGTTAGAGATTATTTGCTTTAATAAATAAAGGTTTCACATTAAAATCTCAATTTTCTTTTGAACTCTACCGCTATGTGACTTTCTTGTTAGCAAAATATAGTGGTACTTTGTTTGTAATTAACAAATAAAGCTTGCTTAATGATTAGAGTGCAGTGCTAAGCCACTAGCTAGCCATAGAGGCCAGGCAGTGGTGGCACACACCTTTAATCCCAGCACTCGGGAGACAGATGGATTTCTGTGAGTTCAAGGCTGGGCAGAAAGGCATTTAAGGCCGGAGGAGACAAGAACTCAGATGTAGTCTGAGGATTCAGTCTAGGTAAAAGATCTCTCTACTGGTTCACTGCACTGCTTCTTTGATCTCTCAGCTTCCCCCACTCCCATATCTGACTCCAGGTTTTTATTATTAATATCAACTAGAATATTTGCTACAGTAAAATTCTCCTCTTTCGTTGTTAATCGTCTAACCCAGGGCTTGTTGAATTCTAGGGAATCACTCTATCACTCAGGTACACCCCCAGTCCCATAAGTTAATCTTTTTGTAATTCTGTTTTTGTCTATAAAATAATCAGGGCTGGAAGATGTCTCAGTGGTTAAAAGTACTTGCCTTATAAACATGAGGCAGGGTTTGAGTGGGTTCCTTATAACCCATGCAAGATCTCAGCCATAGAGAGTCAGAGACAGGAAAATCCCTAGAAGTATGCAGGCCAGCTACCATTATATCCATAGCAGTGAACAGGAGACCCTCTCTTAAGCAAGGATGATAACTTCAGATATCAGTCATCCTCTGACCTGCAAACGCATAATTACACATATGAATATGTACTCACGCAAAAAAAATTATAAAATTTAAGTCCTAAAATTGTATTTTTGTAAAGTAGAAGAATTTGTATAAATCATTGCATTATCGAGTTAGTAATGCACTCTAATATGTGTAAATAACTCCATCTCTAGAAAAGATAAACTTGTCTATATTTCAGGGCTTGACAATCAGAATGGTCTGAATTTGTTAAGAAGAAAGCAAGTATATATGAGTGAGATTCTCCTGTACATTGCTGGTATGAAAGAGTTCTTAAGTATCATCTGGTTGTAAGAACACGGTAGGACAGAACCTCAGAAGTCTTGTTTTTTTGATTGGTTGACTGGTCGGTTGGTTGGTTTGGTTTGGTTTTTGAGATGGGAGTCTCACTAATGCAGCCTTTGACTGACTTGGAACTGCACTATGTAGACCAGACTGGTCTTGAACTCATGAGAGCTCTTTGCCTGCTTTTACATACTGACTGCTTAAAGGCATGTACCTCACCCTGCCAAGTCTTGAGTATAGAATTCAATCTAAATTCCTTGAGGATAAGGTCCCCATTTGATTATTAGAATCCTTGCATTTTCTTCTCCCACTTTTCTTTTCTCTGAGAAAATTTTATTGACCTTTTGAATAAAATTTATTTGCCAGGCAGGACGATCCAATCATACGTCTTCTGGAACCAGCACATGGTTTCCTATCTGCTGATTCTTTTTAGCCCCGATGCTGTCAGTTCTGTGATTCTGAAACCTGACATACTCAGTACCATTTAGACGTCCAGGCCATAGATCCCAATGTTCAAGTCATATTTGATGCCCAGGTCAATGTGCTCTTGAATCCCAGTATTGTTTCATCATCTGAGTGGTTGTCTTTCCTTAACTCATACTCGTACACCTTCAGTGTTGAAATAGGAGCAGCGAGGCTGCGTCCCCGGCACCCGGCCACCCGCATGGCTAGGTTATGCCCGGAAATAATTACACGGAAGCTGTATTTTTTTAAACACTGCCTGGCCGGGCTAGTTCCAGCCTCTTATTGGCTAGCTCTTACATATTGTTCTAACCCATTTCTAATATTCTGTGTAGCCCACGAGCTGGCTTACCAGGGAGGATCTTAACCTGCGTCTGTCTGGAGTGGGAGAATCATGGCGACTCCTGACTCAGCTTCTTTCTCCCAGCATTCTCTTCTGTTTACTCCACCCACCTATGTTCTGACCAATAAAATGGGCCAAGGCAGTTTCTTTATTATAATTAACCAATGTCCTTCCTCCATCACTTCAGACCTTTTTCCAGGATTTCTTTTTGTTGACTCGATGGAACTATGAAGTGAACAGCAAATCCTTTCTTATGCCCAGGTCCTGATGGTGTATCTAGCTTTGGAGAGTCTAGGTGTCTGGTCTGTGAGCTGCTCCATCACTGTGTCTGCTAGGGTCAGTCTCTCACTACTCTCCCCAACACAGATATTGAGCTTATGGATGTGAAGTTTCTGCATGGGTTCCTCTTCTCACCTTGATCTTGAGCCGTGATAGAGAGCAAGAAGAGAATATTCTTGACTGTTAGGACAGAAAGTTCTTAAAGAGTCTTACTAATTTAAGACGATACTACTTACTCTGTTGTCATAGTGTATGGTCTTACCCTACTTCTTTCCCTTCCTCTTCTACTGCTCTATACTGCTCAGCCTCTGTCATAGATAGCCATTATAAGTAGGAATGTCTTTTTATTTGGTTTTAAATTACTTTTGTAGTGAGCAAAGCTTTACAGCCATTAACTTATACCAGCTCCAGAATCCCCTGGAGAGAATGTAAATTTAGTTAAAGAGATGAAGGGGTAAACTGAGTAGTGTTATAGGTAAAGAATTATGAGAAAAGCACATTTTATCTTGCTTGAATTACTAAGTCATCTATCTCAGTCTCTTATTTTTTATGCCATCCTGTTTCTTTTTCCCCCAACTCCTGAATCTTTTGCCTATATTCACTATCTTCAGAGTTAAACACAACTTAATACTGTCTAAGTTAGATGAAATTCTCACCAGATCTCTGAATATTCTTAGAAGTTTACATAATGCTTATCCCTTCTCTCCCTTTTGCTGTTTAGTTTGTTGGGTAGGTTTTGTTTTGAGACGAGGTTGACCTGGAAATCTCCTTCCTAGGACTGAGATTAAAGATTTTTTTTACAACCCTGCCCAGCCTGTACTTTTTGGTTTGTGTTCGTTTGTGTTTTTGTGTTTTATTGTGGGATTGTTTACTTCGTTGTCAGGTTTTCCACTTTTTTTGCATAGCAGGATTGAAATACATACAATTTGGGAAAAGTGAAAGCTATTTTTAGCCACATTCAGGTTACTAGTGATAATTCTCTTTCTTCATAGATTCTTACCTAACTCTGTATGTAGAGCTGCGTAAACATCCTGCTGCAAATTCTTGGCCATGTGCTTCTTAGAGTCAGCAGGACAGTTTTCATTTTGTTGGACTGACTTGAGACATTATATAAATTGCCAAGCCAGTTGGGAGTATGCCAGGATTCACAGAAATTCGAAGCAGGAAGAAAGAAAATGAGTATTTTATTTTGAGACCTTGTAGAATTCATCCTGTGTAATACAATGTTTCTGAAGTCATCTAACTAAATTGTGGGCTACATCACAAATTTTCTGACTCCTTATGTAATCCTTTTTCATAGCATCTTTTTCTCCCAAGGTAAAAAGTAGTATTTATGGTATTCCTAGTTTTTTTTTTTCCCCTCGTAATACTTGGGATTTGGCTACAAATGGATAAACATATAATTCAGATGGTTTATGAATTCTGCAGAAAGTTGATTGTATAGGTAAAACCTACATTTTGAACTGTTCTGTGATTTTTTTAAAGTATAAGATTAAACACAAAAATAAAAATTACTGAGGATAAAAAGTTATCATTTAAAAATCCTAATATAAGTCAGGTAGTGGTGGCACATGCCTTTAATCCCACACTCACAAGCAGCGAGTCAGGTGCATCTCTTAAGTTTGAGGCTACACAGAGAAACCCTGTCTCAAACCCCACCCCCAATATAATTTCCCCATTCCTTTTTTAAATTTTGTAGTTATAAGAAAAGCTGATTTAAGAAAAAATTCAGCTTACATGTACAGCATTTTAGATACCCAGATTGAAAGGTTAAATTTTAAAATTACCAACTATTTTTTTAACCCTTGTTGCAGCTTTTCTGGAGTTAATTTTTTTTTAATGGGGTCTTATAATATCCCAGGTTGACCCAAAATTTCTCTATTACTCCAAAATAACCTTGAACTTCTGATGTACCTCCTAAGTGCTGCAGCTGAAGCCTTGTAACAACACATCAAGTTTGTGCTAGTCTCAGGATAGAACCCAGGGCTTTGTGGTGCCAGACAAGTACCCTACCAAATTACATAGCCAGTTCCTTTTGTAAAATTGTTCTCTTATTGACTGAGTTAAATTTGTTCATTAGCCTACTGAAGATTTTTCAGAGCTGTGCTATATATGTTAATTTTAATTATGTAATCATGTAAATATGGGGATGAACATAATGATTTCAGGTTATGGTTTTTAAAGGAAATTTGGTTTGTGGCTTCTAGTTAGCCAGAGTTCACTAACATAAGGTCTTTAACAAGATAAGAAACAATGTTATATATGAAAAACCTGAGACTGAAACTGAAAATAAATTGGATGAAATTCTAGGGAAGTTTTTTAAAATTGAGTGTATATTTAAGTTGGAGTCTCAGTTAATAGATTATACTCATTGACTAGTAAGATCTGAAGTCATACTATAATGCTGCCCCTTAGGAAAGTGAGTGTTGTGAATAAAATAGTAAATACATTAACTTTCTTTTATGTTGGCCTAAACAAGAGTAGATTTTCTCTACTAGATGACATTATTTGATGTACTGAGTTCCATATAATTCCAGAAATACAAAATATACTCCTGGCTCTAGGTTAAATTAAATGTTTATTTTTACTTTTGTATTTCATAATTGGGTACTAGATTTCATAACAATTTTCACTTTATGAGGTCATTATGTTCCAGGTTTTTCTTAGGAGACTGAGGAAGATAACAGTAATAAACATACTGTTGTTAATAAGTTAAAAGAATTTTGTTTATCAAAGTAAAAATGTGTTTTTCATTTTAAATTTAATTATGAATAGTAGACGCTGTAAATCCAAATGAATTAAAAGAAAGTGGGAGAAGACAAAGGAACATTCTAAGAAAAGGGCTTGGGGTGTGTGGGGCGGGATATTCCCTTTATTTTATCAGAGTCTGAAATTGAAGAAATTTGACATTCTGGTGGCTCATGGAGAGCTGATCAGAGATTGCTTCTTGGCTGAGTTGCTGTCTGCAAAGGCTGCTAACAATCATTTGTCTGGCAGCAGATCTTGTTCATCAGGATTGCATCATCTCTGGGAGAGTGGCCAAGGTCCACAGCCTCAGTACAAAGACTGTCTGAAGCCTGCTCTCTTTCTGAAGCGGCACTCCTCTTCCTGCCAGTCCTCTTCACAGGAAGGCTAAAGCAGACTTGTTCTGCAGTTCTTTCATTGGATTGGCTATTTATTGGTCTCTTGTCTCCCAGCTGCTTCCGCTTCACCTGTCTGATGTATTTCTTAGGAAATTTCTTAAAACTCTAGAAACTACATATAAATAGTGACTCTCAAAAGATTATTCAGTATTGGAAGACAAGCCAGGTTTGTTTGTGGATCCAGTATTCTGTAGATATGTTGGGTTAATTGGGAGAGTGAAACTACATTTTTACTTGGCCTCTGTCCTTTGTCTTATTTGCTGAAGTCTTGGCCTACTTTATACCTTTTACTGTCATCTCCTTACCTTTCACTTTTTAATTTTGAGTATGCTTTTAAAAATATTTTTATGGGGAATAGTTTTCAGTTTTTTAAAAATTCGAAATCCACAATATAAATGTAAAGTGCATGCCCTCTGATTGGTGACTCGTGAACAGCTCTCTTTACGTATTTATGACCTATTAATATTATAGGTATGGAGAGCTCATTCTGGCCAATACTATTGACTATGTAGAGAAAATACTGAAATTTAAGAACTACTGATCACCTACCTCTTCCCTTTCTTCCTCCTCTTTTCCCTAAATCTTCCAGGTTACTTGGTTTCCTTTCTTTTTGAGAATGTAGAAAATTGATGGAGTTGACCACAGGTAGAATTGAGAATTGATTCCCCCACGCACCCTGCTCTCATTGTCTGGAACGGAATGAGAAGAAAGGAGTCACAATTTAGGTTTTATTTATTTATTTATTTTTGCTAAGCCCTTGTCTAGAGTAAATTTGATGAAAAGTGGTCTGTCAGGTGTGGTGGCATATGCTTGTAATAGCACTTGGGAGGTTGAGCCAGCAGGATACCTATTCAAGGCTAATTTGGGCTACAGAGACTTTCAAAAAAAGGAAGTTACTTAGTTTGAGGTTGGTAGGTGAAAAACTCCCAAGGAAAGAGAAAAAAAACCTTTGAGAATCCCTTGGGAAACAGGAGAGTTTTGAAGAGAAGAGAAAGGCAGCCTGATACAGTATCTCATCATCAAGGCCGGTTCCTTCCTGTCTGTAGTTTATTTCGTACACAGTGGTGCATGCTAGGTAAAGGGTTAGGCTTGGTGCTGAATGGAAAGAAAAGTGATTAACAAGGCAGTACAGCAAACAAAAATAAAGTTGTCATTCATCTATAGGATTCCATTTTGTACTTAGTGAGCCCATCAGTTTTTCTAAGTATACTAATTTGTGTCTCAGCCTTTTCTAGGTCTTAAGAGCTATTGTCAGATAATGGGGGTGGGGGACATCAAAGGTTACTCCCCAAATCCTTTTTCATTTGTTGTATTTTAAATTTTAGTAAATGCTGAACTTGATTACCATGATGAGTTCTCTTAGTAAATGTTGTCTTCATCCCTCTTGATTGTGTCAGACAGCATTTGGCCATTAGAACTACAGCAGTGGGTAAAAATGTATTTTGTAAAAATCCCTGCCCATGGTTTATGTTTTGGTGGAAAGAATTTGAGTAATGGAGTAAATGATATCTTGAAATTATTTTGTCTAGAGAGTTTTTATACTCTTTCCAGGGCACATCTCCAAACATGAGGTTAAATGAATAGTTGCTCTAAGCATAAGTTTAATAAACCAGAGTAAGTATCTGATTTCTTACACAAGATAAGTGTTATAGGGGCTGGAGAGATGACTCAGCCACTAAGAGCACTGCTTGCTCTCCCAAAGGTCCTAAGTTCAATTCCCAGCAACCATGGGGTGGCTCACAACCATCTGGTGCCCTCTTCTGGCTTGAAGGCATGCGTGCAAGCAGACCACTGTATACCTAATAAATAAATAATTTTTTTTAATAAAAAAGATTGTATATAGATGATCTAGTAAAAGTTCTTCAATTAACATTTAGGTTGTTGCATTTAACACCATTTTTCAGGGAAGTGACTATTTATAATAAAGACAATTTTTGTATTAGAATTTGAATTAAGAAACCTCTTCGTGTGGGGTTTGAGGAGATGGCCCAGCAGTTAAGCACTTTGGCTGCTCTTTCAGAAGTCCTGAGTTCAAATCTCAGCACCCAGCAACTGTTCATAACTGTAGTCCTATGGGATCTGATGCCTTCTTTTGGTGTGCAGGTGTACGTACAGATGAAACAGCCATAAACATAAATAAATAGATTTAAAAACAAAACTTCATTGTTGTGGAAACATGATTTAGAACAATATGGTCAAGCTGGCCTATTACAATTGCCTTCACCAGAACAGTAAACAGTAGTATAGTAGTATAGTTATATAAAGCTAGACAAGAGGGAAAAGAATTTATGACAAGAAATGTTTCTTACAGATGTGTATCAGCTGTCCAGATAGTTGGTACAAGATCTCACCACTACCTTTGAAACAAGGTCTCACTAGGTAGTCCAGGCTGGCCCCTCTTGATCCTTCTGCCTATTGAATGCTAGGATTACAGGTGTGTCACCACACTCAGCAATTATATTAGGATTTCATTAGGTGATATAGAATTATTTATTCTCTTTTTTTTCTTTTTGGTTTTTTGAGACAGGATTTCTTTGTATAGCCCTGGCTGTCCTGGAACTCGCTTTGTAGGCCAGGCTGGCCTTGAACTCACAGAGATCTGTTTGTCTCTGCTTCCTAAGAGCTAGAATTAAAGATGTGCGCCACCATGCCTGGCCAAATTTATTCAATCTTGAAAAGAGGCACTACCTGAAGTAACTTTGCCATTTTTGCCTTGTAGTATATCTTTTTTCAAGTTAAACTGTCAGAGGGGAAATAATTAGCTATCAACCTAGGTATGTATGTGTGTCTGCAGATGTGTGGTTGGATGGATATTTATTTTTATGAATGTATGCTGGTGGTGACTAACAAAGGATCAAGTAATTTTTTTTTTTAAAGGCCTTTTCAGATTTGGATTCCTTTGACTAGTCAGGTTATGATCATTCTGGTTATCTGATCAAGCCACTTCTAGGCTTAATGCAACTTGTCTAACAGTACTAAAAGTAGAGGGAGTATCCTTCAGTATGCCCTTTGAGCTTATTTGTAGGTTGTCTCTTTGTTTTGTCATTTGAAGATTTTGTCATTTTCCCAATGGCTTTGGTGTTTGAGAATACTTGTTTGACTACTGGGGGAGGGGGAGCATTAATTTATTTATTTGCAAGTTAGTCCAAAGACAGCAAGTGGAGTAGTCACATCTATCATGAATTATGATAAGTTGATAAGAAAGTTGACTTGGTTTGTATTTCAATTTCAGTCTAACAGTGTCACCCAGAGTTGGAAGAGAAGGAGTATTTTGCCATGCCCTATTTGAGACGGCCAGGTCCTACAGAAAAATACTGTAGTTTATAGCTGTGGTAGCTTTATGAACTAACAGTGCAAAAGTAATAACCTTTAGCCAATCTTAAATCTGGGACTGATTCACTCAGAATTAGTTCTCTTAGCCACATTAATGTGTGTCATTTATAAAAATGAAATTCACACGTCTCAAATGAGTAACTGTTTTAAAATCTTCATTAATTCCTGAATCAATTCAATTAGTATCTTATACTTTTCATTTTATTTAGCTATTTTTAATAGTATTAATAATTATTTGACTTCTTTCTTTTTTGGTTTTTGAGACAGGGTCTCTGTAGCCCTGACTGTTGTAGAACTCATTCTGTAGACCAGGCTGGCTTCCCAAGTGCTGGGATTAAGGGTATGTGCCACCCCTGCCTGCCTGATAATTATTTGACTTCTTCCTGTCTTAGCATAAGACCCTTTTTAACCTAGGTCTTTGACAGTATTGACTTCTGTCATTAAAATGCATCTTGTTTCATGCTTTAGTGGCTCTTTTTATACTACTATGATACTGCTCATGTGAATCATACAGATTCTATTTTTATCTCCAAATTTCTTAAATTGTTTGTTTTTTCCTATTTACTATTTAATGATTTTTTTCTTCTTAAATAATACCAATTTATGGCTACCAAATCAGAGTATGTTCGTTGCCTTTTTTAATGCAAAAATATCTCTTGTCTTTGTCATGAAATGTTTAGAGTTTTTATTACGTTTCAGACAGAGAAAAAGTACACTTTTAAGTCATAGTAAAATTGAACAGGAAGTACAGATTTCTGTATATTCTCTGCTCCCACACGTTTAGCTTTCCCCTGTGGTTTGTTTTTATTCATATCTATCGGTGTATATTGCTGCACAAAGACTTTTTTTTGGATAATTACATCTTGCTCCAAGTCTAGTTAAGACTATTTAAGTCAGAGAGGGACCAGAGAGATGGCTCAGCAATTAAAAACATTGGTTGTTCCTTTAGAGTACCCTGGGCTCAATACCTAGCACCCACATAGCAACTCCCAACTGTCTTGAAATTCCAGCCTGAGTGGATCCAGTGCCCTCTTCTGGCCTGTGTTGTCACTGCATGCATGTAGTGTACAGACATGGCACACAAAACACCCGTAACATAAACATATTTTTTCTTTTTTTTTCTTTTTCATTTTTCATAACCATTTTTAAAAAATAAGTCCATGCATAGAAATGGCTATCTGATCAAATATAAACAACTAATTGATCTCTTGTCAGGTTTACTTTAGAAGAAATATCTTGAGTGTTGATAAAGCTACTTTTATTGATTATCTAGGGAAAAGTTTAAATGGAACTATAAAGGAATAAAGCTAGGGTATTTCTGATAACCACCCTGAATCTTAA